GTTCCTCACGACTGATCCGTGACACGATGACCTGGTGAGACTTCATCGTCCGTGCTGCTGAAGTTTCTGCAAAAATGCCAAGATCATTCATAGTGGGATCACTTAAACTAGTCTCTAAGCATGGTAACTGTTGACATTGATATGAGATCAGATGCGCTCATCTCAGATGTTTCCCTTTGTGACCCACAATTAAGACTGCTTTTGAAAATATTATAGCATTGTTCACATCACTGATCGGAGGTCAGTATAAAAACCTTTGCTATTAATACTTTATATGCAATATTAAAGGATAGGAACAATAATAATAACCACTCAAAAAAGGATTCAAATAACCATTCTTTAAGATGTAAGCTGGAACTCTGATTCAATAAAGGATTTTCGACTTATATACTGAATGTTGAAAAAACTAAACTAGAAATTTTTTGTTGGTTTTTTTTTACAAAGAGTTTTTACAATAATCTGGTGAACATAACATGATCAAGATATTTTTCTGGGCCCCGGGTGTTGGGTTATAGAAAATAAACTATATAAGATTTGAAAGACCAAAAAAGAAAACCTTCACAAATTATTTATAATCTATCTTAAATATCTTTAAAGAACTTTTATACCTTTCAGCATGTGTATATGATATTTTTTACATATGCTTAAGTTTGGTACTTTCCATATCACTGTGAAGTCGGTCGATTTTCAGCAATCCTCCAAAAGAAACAAAGAACAAATGGATAAAGATTAAAGCCCTCTGGGGGGAAACTGAGGGCAGGAATTGAATTAGGGTATCAAATCCCAATACAGAGCTTTGCACACTTAAAATTTATTTGCATTTGAATCGCTGGCACTCTGCCAAACATCTAAAGCAAAGCTTATACATGTTTTACTTTTAACAATAAAAACTGTATAGTCAAATTTATCTTTTTCAATGAACAATGTGTTGACCACCTTTCGGTGGTAGTTCAAGGTGACCACTGGCACCCTTCTGATGAACAGGTGTGTGAACATGCCTTCATGGAATATATTTGATGTCACAGTTTCTCGGTGACAAATGCAGTGGTATGACTGCGGGGCTGACACACTGGCCGCACAAAGAAAAACACAGCTCAACATTCCTTAAAGCTATGCTTTCATTTCTTATTTTGAAAGTGCTTTTTAGCTCTACAGCAACCACTAAGATACAAAAGGATAAAGAAAACGTTCAATGTATATTAATTTGATAAATTAAAGTCAATATCACGTGGGTAAACAAACCATTTTGAGATACTCTACTTGAAAGACAAAAAATTTTTAAATATGGCATTTCCTCCCCTATAAAATGTAAATGTAAAGAAACATTTTAATGGCGAATGTGATTTAAGCCAGGCAATTCAGGTTGGAGGCCTGATACTCTCTGTAGTTTCTACTGATGTGTGGAATTTTAAAAAGATGATTTATAACAATTCTTTATCAGAACAGAGGGGGATTTTACATTTTCTATGAGCTGTTGATAATTGATGCATGCAGTAAAGTACCATATGTTGTTCTAAACACTCCATCCTCCTGTTTAGTCCAATCAAGAGCTATATAGTTACTTAAATGGCTTGGTTTGTATAAATATCAAAAATACTTTAAATTAAAAGTAAAGAAGTTACTGATCAAAGTTCATAACTGTAATAAATAACAGCTGGCCGTACCTTGTAACCCTCCCACTCGAAAGAGGTTCAGACCTATATCTTTCACGGGCAGGTCTCCTGCAGTCTCATCAGTTGGACCAGACATGGCCTATCTGTGGAGAAAAAGAAAATTCAAATAAAATCCTTCCAAGTTATAACATTAACTATGCAATGGAATGAACCAAATAAAATGAATAAGGCACTAGAACTTTAATGGACATCTTATTGCCCACATGTGCAGCTTGAAGAAGATGAAAGCTCCCATTTTAAAAGTAATACTACATTGAATCATGGCGACAGTGTTCCTTTCAACAGTATATTTCCTGTAGTTTGCTTAGGAAATGAGGTCAGATTATCATTCTTCCTTCTCCCATCTTCTTATTCCTCTATCTGAAACAAAAACAAACTCTCCTAAATTTAGAAACACCACCTCCCCTCCCCTCTTCCCCTTCCCTGTCCCCCAAAGAAAGCAGATATCTTGGAAAAAACGCAAGTCAGGAACTTGATTCAAATGGTTGTGCTGTTACTTGGTAGCTGGTCAAGTTACCTAACCTTGCTGAGTTTCAGCTCCTTAATTTAAAAATGGAAAAAAAAATAATACCCATCTCACAGAGTGATGCTGTGGGTGAGATGGTAAATTAAAAGCATCTACCACATTTGCCTGGGATGACAATATTACCTGAATGTTAATTTTCAGCTTGATGCGCAAATCATGGGTAGTTACAAGTTTTGCAAAAGAGGTTTCACAAATTCACCAACTGGGTTGGTTTTTGTTGCCACGAGGCCCGAGTCCCAGGGCTTCCTCCTTCAGCATACAGGCTGTCCAGCCAATTCTGGCATTTTCAGTTTCTATTCTTTACAGAGATGTACACATGGCTGAGTTTTGTATGTGGATGTGAGTGATCCAATTCACATGCCATGTCTAGTACGCTTATATTTTCATTTCAATCTACCCTGAAAGCCAAATGTGGATTGTCAGTGGAGATCCCCTAAGGCAGAGATTTCCAATCTCTAAAATGTTGGTCCTAGAACAGTGATGGCGAACCTATGACACGCGTGTCAGAGGTGACACGCGAACTCATTTTTTTGCTTGATTTTTCTTTGTTAAATGGCATTTAAATATATAAAATAAATATCAAAAATTAAGTCTTTGTTTTACTATGGTTGCAAATATCAAAAAATTTCTATATGTGACACGGCACCAGAGTTAAGTTAGGGTTTTTCAAAATGCTGACACGCCGAGCTCAAAAGGTTCGCCATCAAGTCCAAGCAAATTGCAAGCTTTTTGGTCTCGCTCGCCTCTGTATTCTCAGAGGCTGGCCCAGAGTTGGCACACAGCAGACATTCGCTAAATAGTTGTAATGAACGGTGTTGGTGGAGCGTCAGGGTGTGTGGACCCAGACGTGGTTGACAAAAGCTCCTACGCTGACATGTATATGCAGTATCTTTTAGGGGGAGGGTTCCTAACTTTTGTAATAACCGATCAAAGGCTGAGAACCTCTGCATTTTGCTGTGACACAAACAGCTAACGGACGTTTGCCTGGGTGGGCATCTAGCTCTTTTGCAGACAGCGCTACAGAAAAGGTCAATGTTAGGAACCAGATTACCCAGAAGTTTAAACCCAGGACATTTGTAAAAAGGGTACCTTTTCCATGAGAGAGTTATGGCGGCTTTTATAATAGTAATAAGGCTGATGATGGTGTTTGCATTTATTGAGTGCTCCCTGAGCAGTGCGAGGCACTCTTCAAAGTGCTCTGCTTACATGAATTAAAGGTCTCACACTGTCCTTGTGAGGTTGCTATGCAAATGATTCCTATTCTGCAAAGGACAGGGGGCACGGGGACCAGGCTTAGGTAACTTGCCCACATGGCACACATCTAAGAAGTAACTGTCTAGCCCAGTGGTTCTCAACCTTCCTAATGCCGCGACCCTTTATACAGTTCTTCATGTTGTGGTGACCCCCAATTTCATTGTTACAAATTGAACATCAGGAAAGCATAGTGATTCATCACAAAAACAATATGTAATTATATATGGGTTTTCTGATGGTCTTAGGCGACCCCTGTGAAAGGGTCGTCCGACCCCCAAAGCGGTCGCGACCCACAGGTTGAGAACCGCTGGCCTAGCCACTTTTTTGATTGTCACCAGTGGGAAGAGGGAGTGACCTGTTACTGGCATCTAGAGGTCAGAGATGATGCTAAACATCCCGCAGTGCACAGGAATCCCCAGTATCTGCCGCCCATGCTACCGAGGTTGAGAAGCCCCGTGCGGTGCTGCCAGGCCTCTCTGCCGCCCGGTTCCGCAAACCCAGGTACCCTGGCCTTGCTCAAGGCCTTCGCTGACCCTTCATCCTCTGGGGCTCAGCTCCAATGCCGCTTCCCTGATCATCACCCTGTGTTAGATGCCTCTTCCTCCCAATTTAGTCACTGTTTATTGCTGTTCCAGCAGTCATCTCTGTCTGAAATTATTTTGTTTTACTGGTTCATTTCTAGTTCGTCTTCCCTAATAAAGTACCAACGAGCACCTTGAGGCAGGTATCTGTCTAGTTCACACTTGGTGGGGTACAGTGCCTGGCACCAAGTGGGCACCACCGCGAATATTTCTTGAATGAATAAAGCGCTGAGGGTAAAATGCTAAGCAAAGCCCCCGCCTTTATGCAGGTAACAGGCTACGGGATAACAAGGCGGAAAACAGATCAGTACAAGTAATTAAACAATAGGCCACTCGGGAGGCTTACGGGTGCACTAAGCAGCTAGCTCCACACCCAGGTCAAATAAGCGAACTGTGTTTAGGATGGGAGCGCTCCTAAGGGCTTGGATAAGCACTGCAATTCGCAACAACTGCCCTCAGCGAGGGTTTAGGTCTGGGCTGCACATTTTCAAACCGGGGCTGGGCGTGGGGGCCATGGGCGGGGTGTGGCTCAGGCCTTGACGATGTGGGGGTTTCTCGTGCTAGGCTCCTTTTTTCACGCGAACAGAACCCCGGGACCTTCTCCAGGCCGTGGAGCGACCCCAGGACCCCGGCCCGCGCTGCAGGTAGGGAGTCGGCCACCTCTATCGCCCTCTCCTCCCCCAGGGTACTCACCGCCACTCTCTCCCCGCGGCTAGCTAACCGTTGCCATAGCGCCGCCGGCCGAGAGGAGCATGGGAAAAACATGGCAGGCCCCATTGCCTCCTGGGAAATGTAGTTTTCCTGGGGCTCCTTCCCGGCCAGTTCTCAGGGCCTCGAACTACGCTAGCCCAGCTGTGGGACCTGGGAAATTCTAGTGCTCTAGATCCCAAGGCGCTCGCGGGTGCCGCCGCGGTGCACCCTGGGAGTGGTAGTTCCCGCGGCTCTGGGGTAGCGTGGTGGCGAACGGGAGCAGGACGCCGAGAGAACTACACGCTGGAGGCGGGGTCCAGAGCGAGGGAATGTATAATCCTGGCGGTGGCGGAGAAGGTTGTAGCGGCAGCATGAAGCGAACCCCGACTCCCGAGGAACGAGAACGCGAAGCTAAGGTATGTGGGGCCCTCGGGAGGCTTGGGTCTTTCGTGCACTTGGAGCGAGGGGCAGGGAACCGGAGGGACTCGGCTGGAGGGCGAGCCGACGCGCGGTCTGAAGCCAAGCATGAAAGGGCCTTGTCTGCAAGGAAACCAGAGCCCCTGTGGGTTATACATTCGTGCAGGCCTGGTCCTATTGGATCCGCTCACAAATGGAAGACATCCATTTGCTTGTTCTGCACCTACCTCCTTGGGTGAATCCGTAGCTACTCTTGTGCCTCAGTTTACCGGACTCCCAGATGACTGTGATGGTACCCGCTGTGCCTTTCTCTTCTGCTAATAATTTCGGAGGAGTGAGGTCAGGTATGTTTTTTGGAACAGTTGTCTCAGTGGACCACGGATACGTTCTGTTTTCAGCACAGCAGATAGGAACATTTAACTACAATCCTGTTACCTACTGTTGGAGTTCAGCCTCTAGTAGTTGCCGTTCCATGGGATGAAAATAATAATTGCAATAGCAGTTTTTAAAAATAGCATTTATCACATGTCAGGCTTGCATTGAGTTCACACTGTTTATATTATTTCATATTCTCACCGCAGCGGATTGCAAGATAGATATGTATACAGATGGAGTATCAACAATCCTGTTTTACAGATGAAGACTTGAGTGCCAGAAGAATTGAGTGTTTTCCTTTCTCTCATCCCCCAAATCAAGTCCTGTTTGTTTGTCTAAATGTATTGGTAATCTGTCCACATTTTTCCAGTTCCACCTTGGCCCATGCTATCACCATCTCTAATGGACTGGTACAGTAGTTTCCTTATTGGTATGCACTCACAATATACCAGTGGTTCTCAACCTTGGCTGCACATTAGAGCCACCTGGGAATCTTTTTAAAATCCTGATTTCTGGGCCCCATCCTCTGGAAATTCTGTTTCTTTGTTACTAATGTTGTGGCCTCACCCCATAACAAAAAATAAGCATTGGTTATGCTTATATGCATGCATACAAGTCCTTCGGTTGATCTCTTAACCGTCCGCCCCCCAACCCTCCCCATTTGTATTTAAGTTTTCAGGTACCTGTACTAATTGATTAACATATTAGAAGTAAGGGGATCCCAGGAAAGGGAGAAACCAAGTTATGTTGGGGAGGGTCGATTTTACAGAGTTCCTCCTGCCACCCCGTCCCCCCCCCGCCCCCCCAAATCGTCTCCACAATTAAAACCACTCCAGCAATTATACTAGTGAGTCCCATTCCTCTTTTTAACATTACTTGAAAGGCAGTTCTCCTGGCTTGACAGCCCTGGCTCCATTTTAGAAGTGGCTCCATTATATTATTGTTTATATTTTCCCTCTCTTGATCAAGCTCTTTCCTTGAAAGCAATGATCAGAAAACAGCATTGATCAGTTATTAAAAACATCACTGGCCCTCTATTATCAGGTGACTCATTTTGAGTATTTCGTGTCATTGTTAGTCCCTGAGGCCAGGAGGGCTCATTCCTGGTATATCATGCCCCCGGTAGAAAGGAAAATAGTTTCTTCTTTCCTGAGGAGCCTTAGGCCACATCTGAGCAATAAGCACACCAGAACACAGGAACCCTGCGTTGTCATCATGCTTCTTTAAGAGCAGGGCCTGGGTTATATTTAGTTCTAACTTTATTTTATCGGAGGGGTTTTATCCAAGTGCATAAATAGCAAACTTCCTTTTATTGAGTTATTAGTTTTATAACTCATTAAACCTAACAACATTTATCTTTTTAAGTGATATGAAGGCAGCTGTCGCCAAAAAACAGGAAACTTTATTAATGGTTTTTTATTTGAAACAGCAAGTTTATCTTGAATCAGAAGTATTTACTTCTGTTATTTGAAACAGAAGTATTAACAACAGGGCAACCCCCACCTTGCTTAACTAGAATGTTTTCAAGGGCAATACTCTTATCTAATACTGCTGCAGTGGTCATTGTAATATCTGTCCAAGGAAAAGTATTCTTAAACATCCTCTGTAGTTTCTTACATGAAAACTAGAGGCCCGGTGCACAAAATTCGTGCACAGGTAGGTTCCTAGGCCTGCCGGCAATCAGGGCCCATTGGGGGCCTTCCTTCGTTCTGCACCACCCCCTGGTGGTCAGTGCACGTCATAGTGAGTGGTCGAACTCCTGAGAGGACAATTTGTTTATTAGGCTTTTATATATATAGATTTTATAGGCCTTAGTGATCATTTCAAAACATTGATCAATATTTTTAAAGGAGTGTCTTTATAACATTGGGCTATACAATATAAAGATTTCTAATAGCAAACATTTTTATAATAACAAAGTTAAGTTTGAATAATAGATCTAAATCAAGAACAATACCCGAGGGCCATCAGCTGAAGATATTAAATAACCAGGAGGTGTTAGTGGGTACTGTGTTGAATCATCTGGCTTGTGCTAAATCTGGTACCTTTATTGGCACCGACATCACTAGGTGATAAGCATCCAGGAGTTAATGCTTTTAGATTTAGTCACACATGGATTAGCTCAGAGTCCAGAATAGATAAACTTGCTGTTTCAAATAAAAACCATTAATAAAGTTTTCTGTTTTTTGGCGATCGCTGCCTTCATATCATTTAAAAAGATAAATGTTGTTAAGTTTAATGAGTTATAAAACTGATAACTCAGTAAAAGGAAGTTTGCTATTTATGTATGTACTCACTGCGTTTTTTTACCTCATTTTTTCAATTTTATTTTTTGCCTTTTGGCCTTTTAGTGAGGTCCTGAGAAGGTTCTTTTGGTCTCTATCTTCAGCCTGGATTATTCTTGATTATTTCACCCATTTGGCTGATGGTAATTTAGGAAACTAAATCTAGGGCATTTTTGATGATGGGCCAATGACTAGGGGATTTAAGAAAATTAAAACTTGGCCTGACAGATCCTACTCTGTCCCCTCACCCCCAAGTTTATCTTGATCTTTTTCTTGATATCTCTTTCAAGGTGTGGGTCAGGCTTTAATCACCATTTAGTAGTTTTGATTGTCTCTTCTAGACAGAAGGGTTAATTTGTTCCTAGCTTCCAAATCACTTTAAATACCTTCACTGAAAATTAATTAAACTAATGAGTAACAGTAAGTTCTTGTTACTTTCTATGATTTCCAGATCTCTTTTTAAAAAAAATTTTTTTTTTAATTGATTTCTGAGAGGAAGGGAGAGGGAGAGAGAGAAACATCAATGATGAGAGAGAATCATTAACCGGCTGCCTCTTGCACGCCCCCTACTGGGGAGGAGCCTGCAACCCGGGCAAGTGCCTTTGACGAATTGAACCTGGGACCGACCCTTCAATCCGCAGGCTGATGCTCTATCCGCTGAGCCAAACCGGGTAGGGCTAGATCTCTTTCTTAATCTTCATGTTGGTTTTGCACATGAAATTTGCCATTTGGGAAAAGTCTTAGACACTTATTTAACACGTTTAACACTTAGGCACTTGAAACAACCCTGGGGTTCGGTGAAGTCAGCACGTGTCTCTTTAATCCTTCCATCTCTCCAGTATACCTGGTGAGTGTCTCGCGCGGAAGAGACGTTTATCTGTTGAAGAAAGATGGAATGGTTGAGAACCTCCAGCGTCTGGTACATGTTACATGTGAACTCTTAGTAACATCACACTGGCTCCCTGGATCAGAGGATTTATTGTGGCTGCGTGTAGCTCCAAGGCCGTTTGCTTCAAGAAAGTAGGGACCCACATCTTTTTGGTTTTGATCTTCACCATTCTGTCCCCAGCACTTAAATGAACATGGTGCCAGGCCAGCCGTGGGCAAACTATGGCCCACGGGACGGATTCGGTCCGTTTGAAATGAATAAAACTATTGAAAAAAAAGACGGTACCCTTTTATGTAATGATGTTTACTTTGAATTTATATTAGTTCACACAAACACTCCATCCATGCTTTTGTTCCGGCCCTCCGGTCCAGTTTAACCCCTTCCCCGGCAGAAACGTGTATACTCGTTTTCACAAAATGTTCTTTTTCAGTCGTCGACGAGTATACTAAGAAAATATGGTAAAAAAATATGGTTTATAGGAAGACGAGTTACAAACTGTTTTCATAACCAGCATCAAAAATACTATATAGAACCAAAATAAAAAAATTAGTCTGAAAAAGAAACGTTTTTAACAAAAAAATTGTTGGGGAAGGGGTTAAGAACCCATTGTGGCCCTCGAGTCAAAAAGTTTGCCCACCCCTGTGCCAGGCCCAGAGTCAACCTTCCGTATTCATCAAGCGAATGAATCATGAGCATGATCTGTTACTTGTCATTAGGTTTCATACTAGATGGACCTGGAACCTGAGAGGAATAGTGGAAACTGGTTAAATACTCTACCGGTTGTCAGTGACTTCACATTCCATATCAACACCGTATTCATTTCGAGACGCAAGACTCTGCTCTTTAACACATGCGTTAGCAACGGCCAACAACTGTTTCCTACCGATCTCTTTCAAATTTAAACGGCTGGTTTCCCCTTCAGGTTTTGTGTACTTGGTGATTGTTAGTTTATTATGGTAGATTTCTTGGCAAATTTATATTTAAAGGGTGAGTTTGTGACTTCTAGAAGGGAACACCTCTGTAGTAGACAGTAGGAGCCCAGCGTGCAATTCGAAATCGCGTGGCGCCCCCCACTGCCTCTCAGGCCCTTGAAGCAGCCAGGGCTGCTGCTGATCAGGCCCTCCCCCAGCGCAGGCGCCCAGAGGCCCCTGCTGCCCCCGGCAGGCTCCATCTCCAGTGTGGGGTGTGCAGGGGGCAGCCTATCCATGCTTCTCTCTCATCATGGATGTTTCTTTCTCTCTCTCTCTGCCTTCCTCTCTGAAATCAATAAAAATATATTTAAAAATATAAGGCGCTGTTTAGAGGAGAATTTAGAGCTCTGTGAATGCCGTTCGCTCAAACCTTATGTTCTACAAACCGATTCTGTAACATTTTACAGCGTTTTCTCACCAGTTGATTTTCCGATGCAAGCCGGGAGGGCTCTTGGGGACAGTTGAGCTGGGTCAGGGCG